GCCGTCCATGTCCGCCACGCCTATCTTGTGTTGCACTTCTACATTCGGGGCCGGGCCCCGCATTTCAAACCCCCAATTAAACTCTCCGTCATCACAAGCCCCGTGTGGCGAACGCAAGGAGTCGGCACACTCGCTCATGTCTTGCTGCTCTACCCCGTCGCCCTCGAAAGCTAAAATGACTTGCTCGATGTCGGCAGCGGGGAAAACCGGGCACCACGTCCCCTCTTCCCACAACCAAGCCACACACGCATGTCACGCACAGGAAGCACGATATGTTGGGTGTGGTGTGGTGCGGGGGCTGGGGTTCCGGCGGTGGCTTGGAGGCTTTCTTGTTCGACACACCCACTCTCCCCGCACTTTCGCCTGTTTTGGCAATGCTTCATAGTTTGTTTACTCAGATTACCTGTTGTTTGTCACCCAGATTACCTGTTGGATTTTTTCTAACCCCGTTTGACCGTTTTTCCTTACGGAGAGTCATACCGGTTTTCATCTCGATCCACGGGTAAGCGTCCAGGAAAAATGATCAAAATCTTACGAAGAACTCATACTGCTGTCTTGCAGTGCGTACTGTAGTGTAGTGTGACCTACCTGTTCTTCCGACCTATAGCATGAGCAGCATAACGTGCTATCTTCCGTGTAGGCAACTTCCCACCAGGACAGCCTGATTGCCATCAACTGGGCTGACATGCATTGCATGTGTGCTGGGAGGGCGTACTGCGGTAGAACATGAAAGGTTCACTGCTGTGGCAAAGGTTGGGCGTTCGGGTAGTTGGTTGACATATTTCAAACTCGCGTTCCCGGTTCCTTGATATTTATTTGGTTATTTTTGTCCCGAACCATGGTTCAGGAATCTCCGTGGAAATCCAATTTCTATTTCAAACTCGTGGGGTACATATCTTTGAACGGGGAGGCCTTGATATAGTCTATGGCTGTTCCGAGGTTAATATTCCAATACATGACGTGTAATCCGAAACTCCGTGCGCACACCTTGCTGCCACACATAAGTACTGCGCTGCAGCAGTATACAGCACAGTATGTTGGAGAGAGAGGCCAACTTGGAGAGACGGGAGACTTTCATAACTGCTACGCTGCTGTCAGCGAACTATGTTGAAAGAATACGCACGCCTGTGTTGAGACTTCGTATGTGGTTGGGATGTGTTTCAAGAGAGAGGCAGAGCGACACCACGAAGCGAGATGCTATTTTCCCTCTCTCTCCAGCTGGGCAGCTGGCTGAAATATCGCATGCATGCATGATGAACAGGATGATGAACACATCAACAGGCAGCCCCGGCTCGCTGCCAACACAAAGCACACACACCAGGCACGTACACCCTAGCCACTCATGCCCCAGTTTAACCGTGCACCTTTCAGGAGGGCACTCTCACGGTCGATGGTTATGATGTATGCATACTTATGTCACCAAGCGGAGAAGTCACCAAGCGGAGAAGAGCCTTTGGAAAGAAAACACACACCACAACCGATTCTTGAGCGACAACAGCAGAGGATCGATGCATAACCGGATGAGAGATTCATGAAGCCATGCATACCTACATATGAATACTTGCGTGTGCGCGGTGTCAAAGCTCTGGGGGTGCGGGTCTAGGTTTTGTGTCCGTCCTCTGCCGTTATTTGCGTCTGAGCGAGATTGCCAGCTGCGAACACCTGGAGGGAGCGGCTGATGGGCGGAGCCGTTGGGTTTTTCAAGACGAGTTGCGGTGTTTTTGCTGTAGTAGAAGAGGGTGTTGAATGCATAGACGAGGAGTGATGCACCATCTGTGATATATCTCAAGCAGGAGGACGGAGGGGTGGGACAGCCTCCGAGGTAGAAGCCGCGCTGGCTAGCAAGCTTGCACGGTGGTAGCTGTTCGAGTGGTAGCGGTGTCCGTGCGGTTGATACCGTCGTGCGAGCTGTCCCTCCCTTCTGTCACGGGCGGAGGTACAAAAAGCTAAAGATCCTTCCTTGAATAAATTTGTAATCGGGCCAAAACACCCCTCTGAATATTTATTCGGGAACAAAGATCCAGCCGGAAATTCCCGACCCATGGTTCAGGAATCTCCGCGCGGTATTTCAAACTCAAATTCCCGGGAATCCCGACAATCCAGTCAAATAATCCAGGAATCTCGAGTTTGAAATATGTCAGGTGTGTTGGTGTAGTGATGTGTGTGCAGTTTGCTGTTTCGGTGAGTATCGAGATTTCCTGCTGTAAGCAGCGATGCATTCATGGCACTATTGTACTGCTCTGTACAGGCCAGGATGCGTTGCATACCTCCCGTGCTTACAAGCTCACATGGTTTCTAGGGGATGGGGCGAGATTTGAGTTACATTTAAGGCTATGCATATAGGAAATCTAGCAGCAGTGGCATTTTGTCTCTCACTGCTGTGAAGACTTCAACACATCCGGTTCCGGCAGTTGTCTATATCAACAGCAGTGTCGTCTCTGCTGTGTGTTTGTAAACTTTCAAAAAACAAAAGAGCGCAAGCATGGTCCGGCCTCAACGCGCACTGGCTGTCCGTTATTTCCATCTCGCAATCATGGAGGTTCATTTATCCGCCTCGAACAGCAGTACGCAACAAGGGCAAGGAGAACCTATTATAGCGGACGACGAAAAAAAGGCCAACGAGTATTGTACATGGGACGGACCCTCCGTCTTTCATTCTGAGAACGCACGCGTCGCTCCGCGCTCCCTGGGCGGGCGGAAGGAAATTTCCTGGACGAATAGTCTACTCCATTTTTCTACAACGTGGATAGGTGAAACAACAGGACGAGGAGCTCGCTGCAAGTGTGTATGTCCTCCTGTCTCCGGCCCTTGAGCTGCCTAAGCAAAGGCTATATAGCCGCCGGTCTCCTACGTTAGTTCGGTCGTTAATTTGATCGCGTCCGTGGTGAATGGAGAGGCACATCGTTCGACGAAGCTACAACCAACAACCAACCCTACTCGCGATAATTCTTTGGTTTCGCCGATGACAAATATTAGGTTCACCAGCGGCCGTCTCTAGGTCGAAACGTTTTCTGCACAACGCGCACCTTCGCCATCTGGTACCACGACATCTCCTGCTGCTGGGCCCTAATACTTTCCGCGTGCCGGTCCGTGTTATCCCTCGCGGGCGCATCGTCTTGGTCGATGCTGACACTATCGAAGACTGCGCTGCTGCTGCTGCTGCCGCCGCCGCCGCCGCCGTTGCTGCGGGTGGTCCTGTCTACGCCATTGCGCTGTCGCTCACCGCCACGCGGAGGGGGGCTCGCGTTACTGCCTCCACGACTACTCCTCTCGGAGGGTCTCGATGGAGAGGATGAACTGTTTCCCATGCCACGGGAGATTGACTATATCTGCTCTCAGGTGCGTTGTGTCATATGGGTCCTGCTGCCAGCTCTCGGCATAAAGAACTTGAGGGTGGGTGCATGTTTTTGGTCATTCCCAATCGCGAGCCCCCCGGCCGAGCCTTGTGCACTGCTGTGTGCCCTCTTGTCTTGTGTTGTTGCACGTATGCATAGTAGTCACATCATTACAGCAGGGGGGAGAGAGGTGTGCTCCGTTGCGTGCCTCTTATGGACGAACACATGAAGCACACCGCGTCTTGGTTCTGCAATCGCTACATATGAGAAGTGGCAAACAAGCACCACGAATGTACGTATTATAGTACACTTGAGTGCATAGTGTAGGCCCATGGGACTAAAACATGCGACACTACCGAGTACGTACAGATATTTGGTGGAAAGTATACGGAACTACTGCTGTAAGTAGTGGCGAAGTTGCTCAACAGGTATTCTGGTCTCTCCTATTGTCGCACAAGTTATTATGTGCTCACTTAAATAGTCGTGAGGACAATCACCCCCACCTCCCCCTCGCCCTGCCGCGCATCAGTCCGAAATACGCGCTTTTCAAATTTGATCTGATCGGGTGAAAGATGGAAGAAGAGTACTATGTATGGCGTACGCTGCTACTGCCAGGTGGCGTCCCGCAAAGGTTAAGGTTTTACCCCATTTTTTCAATCCCCTTTGTTTTCGTACGATCGTTGGTCTTACTGCTGTAACCCGGCGCCAACATGATTAAAGCCACACGGGCAATAAAAAAAAACTGCTGGCCCCGCCACCACGACCGACCATGGTCGGCAGTACGACCTGACCAGGTCAGGCAGACAAATTCAACCTGGGGCATCATTAAACAGAAAAGGTAGAGTGTAACCCATGTTTCATTGGTGTGTAAGATATGCTTACCACACGCACAGCGCTACGTTTCGTCACGGCCAAATGAATCGAGATAACTAAACATTATTCTGCGTACCTCTTCCTTGACGTCAAATGAACAAGACAGGCCTATGCGGGCATTTATCTGCACACAACTCAAGCATATATTGAGCTGCTCCTCCCTCACGCCACCGGCGCCGCGCGGCGTACAGCACCGCTGTTCGTGGCGTCCCACCTTAAACACCGAGGGCTCAATCACCGACAACCGGTCCCCCGCCATTCAAATCTCGCGCGAATCGCTCGACAACCGGTCCAACACCACGTCGTCCGCGCAATACCCCGATCCGTTCGTTCATCTTTCGCAAGACTCCTGCGTCGATACGCCAAGATGGCATCAAATTCAAACCACGAAAAACTCGAACAAGGAGATGCACACGCAGCAGGTGGGAGCCCGTAGTGCTGCTTATTGAGTCAAAGATATTTAGTGCACCGGCCCCTTGCACGCGTTAGTTCCATTCACTCGTCATGCAAACCAACGAAAAACAACGTGTTGTGAAGAGCCACCTCTAAGAGCAAGTGAGTGGAAAGAGGCGCCATTTCGACGTCGTTTTCAACCGGTGGCAGTCGCCAAGGCCACCGCAAAACTACAGCAGTACTCACCCCCGCACGTTCTTACCGCACACACAACACAAAAGCAAAAAAAACAACACGAAGCCGAAAACACATGCCCGCGGAAAAAGGACCCTCTTGCGGAAACCAGAAAAAAAAAACTTCCGTTGCTGATCGACACCGAGACCAGAAGTCTAGTGATGGCAACACGTGAGAGGACTACGACTTGACCCTTATCCCCGTCCCCCGTGGAGTCCGCCTTCTTAGAATAATCGCCGCCTTGCGCTTTTTAACTTGTTGCCTTAACAGCCCAAACACCAAGACGACACGTTTGAGGCTCGCTCGCACCCTAGCAAAATAACTAGGTCACCCGCACCCCCCCGCGCCCACCCTCCCCAAACAAGAAAATATGTCTTGCGAAAGACGAGCAATGAATAAACATGATACCACAAGAACACGAGCTCCGAGAGGGAGACAACAAACTCCACCGAAATCCCGGCAATCACAATCATTGGAGCTGCTTGAGTCAGTCTCAGATTACTGGTACACACGCGTAGTCTCCCCTGTTATCACGACAACAAAACAAAAGCATCTCGGAGATTCGCCCGACTGAATGGCGTTTGCACTCATCCACCACTTGAGAGACAATTCCCACGACTAAGACGGCGTTGGTCTCCAAAAACTCCACACACAAAAATCACCCCGGCAAAGTGCACTTTCGAGATTTCGTCGACCAAGCAGGCGTTACGCCTCGCGAACATCCGGTGCAAACTGGAGATTTAAACTCATTATTCTTCGTCTTCGTCCTCCTCCTCTTCCACAGACTCCAGCCAAACGAACCATGGCGTGGTCTGCATCACGGCCTTCATGCGACCCTCGGCAGTGCTGTCCACGTCGTCCTGTGAGAACGAGGAAACACGACACAGGAACGAGACACATACAGTAGGAGCGTTGGTTGGCATGAGAAAACCAGAAAAAACGCTCAATGCTGTGTGTTTAGATTTGCATTTTACGCATCTCAGGACCATGCTTGCCGTGGACTCTTGCTGCAAGAACGAGCCAAAACCACAATCAGACACAAGCACCATTTCGCACGATTGCAACCTGCCAACAACCCTTCACAGCGAACACCGCCGTGGTTCAACCTTCAACAAAAAAGCCGTGCGTGATTGGTCAAAAAGATCACCGGCGCGGCGGATTGCCAAGACTGCAGCAACACAGCACTCCGGAAAGGATCACTCGAGCGTGTCGAAAGTAGACATCCGCGAAATTACTCAATTCCAGGTTTGCGCCTTGTCAACGCGCTCGATTTTCACGTTCTGGTGACAAAAGGTCTATTTCTGGCTTCCGCAAGACCAAAGAAGAGAACAGAACAGCAGAACACAGGAAAGTTAAATATGTTAATTAACACGACTTGCATTGAATTGCTCATTCATCCTAGACTCTTTATCTGCGGATGAATAGAGATGACTTATTGTTGCAAGAACAGAAAAAAAGACGTTACCTTCCACTCGATGAAGGCTTCCTCCTCGCAGAGGTCGTCGTTGTACATGCCCATGAAGATGGTCTGCACGACCGCGGCCCCCCCGATCTTCGGGAACCCCAGCTGGTGGCACTTGGCCACGACCGCATAGATCATGCCCATCTGCTGCTGCGTGCTGTCCTTGCCCGTCGACAGCGCCGTGAGCGCCGGTCCGAACTCGTCCTTCCCCATCCACTTCATGTCCTCGGGGGACGCCGTGCCCTCGAGGGCCGCGGCGAGCAGCGCGCCCGCGGTCGTCCGCTTCTCTTGCGCCAGCACGAACTCCTTGAGGTCCTTGCCGCGCTTCCCGCTCGCCAGCGCCTCCGCCGCCGACGCGCGCGCGACCTCGACGGGGTCTTCCTTCGGCTCCTCCGGCTCCGGCTCCGGCACCGGCTCGGGCTCGGGTTTTGGTTCCACCGGCGCCGCGGCGGCGGCGGCTACCTCCTTCTTGGGCTCCTTGATTGACATCTTGGACAGGGACGCCGCTGTCGGCGACGTCGACGAATCTCGACCACCTTTGAAGCCGCCGCCGCCGGACGGGCGAGCGAGGGGGCTCGCCCGCGCCTCGGGGGAGCCGGCGCCCGGCCGACGGTAGGCGCCCCCTCCGCCACCGTCGTCGTGGCTGTCCCTGCTGAACCTAGAGCTGCCCATTCCCATGCCGCCCCCGCGACCTTCGTCCCTACGGTCGTAGCCGCCCCCGCCCATGCCTCCGCTACGTCGGTCGTCTGGTCGGTCGAAGCCCCCCCGTCCCCCCATGCGGCCGCCGCTGTCGTCACGCCGGTCAAAGCCTCCCCCGCTCCCGCCGCTGCCGCGGCGGTCGTCATCTCGACGGTCGAATCCACCACGTCGGTCATCGTCTCTGCGGTCGAACCCGCCACCGCCACCCATGCCTCCGGCGTTGGGACGCGGGTATCGCTCCGAGTCGCGGTCGAAGTTAGAGCCGAAGCGCTTGGCGAAGGCGTTGCCCGCGGGAGGCGCCGGGGGCTGGAAAGGCTCTCGCTCCATACCCCTGCCACCGCCGAACCCGCCACCCGCGCCGCCGCCGGCGGAGTCGCCCTCGTTTCTCCTCCCGAAAGACGGCCGTTCCCCGTCGCGTCCGCCACCGCCGCCGCGGCCGTCGAACCCGCCGCCGCCGCTACCTCTGCGGTCTTCGTCGCGATCCCTCCTTGAGAAACCCCCCGCGGCCGGCGCGGCGTTCCTGTCGTCTCCCCCTCCCTCCCTTCGGAGGGCCGCCCATCTTCCGACAGGCTTGGCCGGCTCCGCCTTCGGCTTGCCGTCCTCCTCCCCGGCAGTGTCGCCTTCCTTCGGTGCGGCGGCGGCGGGCTCGCTCTCGTCGCCCTCAGCGTCGGCCGCCGTCTTGGTTGTGCCGTCCTCCATCGCCGCAGTAGCGGGAGAAGCATCTTCTCCCGCTGCGCCATCATCATCAGCAGTCGCGCCCCCGTCCTCGCCGCCTCCCTCCGCAGGCTTGCTTGAGCGAACGGCCTCGTCCCTACGGCGGAAGGACGTTTGTCTCGCGGCCTCGACCTTCGCCTCGATCTCCTTGTCCTTCTGGGTGGTGTCTACCGCTTGCGCCGCCCCGAACGGGTTTGCTCTCGGCCCGGCCGGCTTGGGAGCAGGGGCCGGTGCCGGTGCCGCCGCCTCCGCCGCCGCCTTGTCTTCCTTGGAACCCATCGGCGGCAACGGCGGGGGCGCCTTGCGGCTCTGCAGCTGCAGGCGCGGGCGGCCCTCGCTCGACGCCGGGGGGTTGTCGTAACCGCCGTCCCTACCCCCCATCATCCCGCCGCCGCCCATGCGGCCCCCGCCGCCGCCATCACGGCGGTCGAAACCCCCGCCTCTCATGCTACCGCCATC